TAATCCATGTATGCCTGTGCATACATCACAATACGCGCTCACGATACTTTCGATTCGTCACTTTTCTGTTGTAGAGTTCCCATTTTACAATTACGTGACTCAACCTGGTGATAACGGAGAAAAGAGACATATAGGACGTAGATATAAGTCACAGTTATGATTTCACAGATTCGAGACAGCTTGATAGCCCAAACGGCCCCAGGCCCGTGCACACTAAGTGACTTTCATTACAAGCATTTAGCTTTCCGAAGTCTATGACAACAATTGTTTGGCATTGACGGCCACGAATTTCGCACCAATAAGCTGCTTCGACTCGTTTGATTATGTTATCGACTCAATTTCATATTTATTTTCACATTTTCACTTCGCGGTCCTTCTCTGTTCTTACTCTGTTATTTACACGTGTAGGACATTTCATTGTTATCCACATTTGATATCATCACTTATCACATACTGCCATGACGCTCATGTCTGTCCGCTTCAACTGTCAAGAATTAATGTGATTGGCGAAGCGTAGTGACAGCGGGCCAATAGAGAGCAGGGTCCTTGCCATAATGCAGTTTGCGCGCCAATTTTCATACGTACGATAATCAAGCCGAATAGTTTGGCCGAATATTCGGCTATTTGGCCACGCTCCTGGCCGAATATACTATTCGTTACAACACTAGTCATGATCTCTTGAAGGCTATGAAACTGGAACAGGAGGATTTGATAGTACTGTACATGTTTGAGTGGTAATCCATTAAACATGTGCAAACCACAGTGATTCATTTTTCTTGAGTCAGCATGCTTCATATGACTTGCAAACAAATGATTCTGTTATCATTTTCATAAATGGACTGAGACTTTATAATTATCCTGCATTTTATTTTTTCTTATATTTGTTGATGGAACTCGTCATTGTGTAAGTATGTAAATAAAAAGTATCTGAGGGTACAAAAACACAGAGGGAATGCAACTGAAGAGTATAATGAGCAAAAATTCATGACCATGACATATCTAGGGTGTTCAGTGCCCTTGAGGAGCTCAATTAATTCCACTGGGTTAGAGATTGAGTATTGGTATCCCTCCAAATGGGGAGCAATGATGTTCTGTAAAGTTGCCTCTAATTTGCATGTAGGGGCCTTAGGTTTACACAACATCATTGCTCCCCATTTGGAGGGATACCAATACTCAATCTCTAATCCAGTGGAATTAATTGAGCTCCTCAAGGGCACTGAACATCCTAGATATGTCATGGTCATGGATTTCTGCTCATTATACCCTTCAATTGAGTTGCCTCTGTGTTTTTGCCCCCTCAGAGACTTTTTATTTACATACTTACACAATGAGGAGTTCCATCAACAAATTTTAGAGTTATCCCACCTGGTTTGTTACAGCTCGTTTTTTCTTATTTTTGTTGTATTTGAATAGTATGAGAGTTCTATTCGTTTAGAATAGGGTCGGCAACCTTTTTGTTATTAAGGGAATCATAAAAATTTTAAAAACTATCAAGAATGTATAGTTTAATTTTTGAAAAAAATCACAATGTTTAATAAATAAACAAAATAATTATATTTTGAAATATGTATATTTATACAAAATAATGATTGATTATACATGCATGTAATAACTAAAAAATGAAAATTAAAAGTACATACTTAAAATAACACAAAATCAAATTAAATAAAATTACAAATATATATACATACAGTATATATATTTGCACTTGTATGACTATGGTTCTTGAGGGCACATTTGAAATGTGTTGTGTTGCCAACCCGATTTAGAACATCTTTCCTGTTCATTTAAATTATTTCCATTGCAATGTATTTAAAATTTCTTTGTGTTCTTTTTCATTTAAGTTTGATGTTCCAAATGAAGAAGGCCTATAGTAATAGGTTGGAAACATTTTTGGTCAAATAAACATTTTGCTGGAGTTATACAAGATGTGCTTCTTTCATCTACTTACTTCTCCAGTTTTGTCATAAATTATTTTATGAAAACTTAAAACTCATTGCTATGGTAGTCTAATCAAAGCTTTTTCTTAATTTATTCAGTTTAGTTTTGTCCCAAAATAATAGTATTCTTCCACAATTGTTGCTATTCCAAGAATAACAGCTAAGGTATCAATGAAGTTAGTTATTGCTGAATAGTTACATAACCTACAGTGGTGAATAGGTAACAACTTTGAAGAAATCAGGGAATAGATATTGCAAATGAAAAAAATCTCAAAAATTTTCAACATTGCTAAAGAAAAAATTTTTTTTTAATCTTTTTTTGATAATTTTGAAAAAAGCAACCAGTATATATAGTTTACATTGGTATCATCCAACCATTGGATTCTGTAATCTCTAGTATTCTTCTAGCTAGTCTCTGAGGTGATTTTGATATTCATCTTTCTTATCATATATGTTTAAATAATTACTACCTTGCTTGGTCTTGCAGAATCAAACTTTGAGTTTTGAGTTTTGAGTTTTATACTTTCTACTTATATTAATAACTTATTTACTCAAACTGAACCCACAGTTATTGCTTACACAGATGATATCAAGCTCCTTTTAAAACAGATAATATCAAGGCAGATGATATCAATCATGATCCTGTTGGCCTTCAATCCGATTTAAATCATTTGTTAGTATCATGTGGATAATACAATCTTAAAATTAATATTCGTAAAACTGCTATGTTTTACTTACTTCAGTATACTTAATTGCCATCTTTTGCAGTTAGCAATAATCTTCTACAATATGTACAGTACAGTACAATCTGTTAATGATCTTGGTGTTATATTTGATAACAAATTATCATTTAAAAGTGTTAAAGTGTTAACAATATGTCATGGTATCTTGTGGCAGTTTTGATGCACTATTTCATCCAAGAGCATTTTATGATCTTTTTTCCCAATTTTCAATCACTTATTGATTATTGCTCACTTACTTAGTCTATGACTGTCCTTTCACTTATTGGCAGAATTTTACAGGAACTGAATAAAATGTATTTGTTGTTAAATAAACTTTGTCATTTACTTTGCACTATTTCTCTAGATATTACCAGAGTTAATTAAGTTTATCCATTCTTAATGAAAGAGTTAAATATTTTGAACATTTACTCTTTTTTAAATATTTTGATGGTTGTATTTTATCTGATTGGTTATACCTAAGAGCACCTTCTAAAAGTACCCATAACTTATTATGTATTCATGTTCTTTTTCTCATTTAACTATAACTCATAGATTGTTCTTTTATCACATAGTTAATAGTTTGACAAATACAGAACATGTGCTTCACACCTTAATTATTTGCAATATAAAAATTTTGTAAAAGTATACTTTATAATTCTTAAATGTAGTTTTAAATTTTAATTTATCTATGTCAGGGTTTTTGTTGGTTTGGGGGTGGAAATCATTTGTCCTTGGACATTTCCTATATGTAATTAAAATAAATAAATAAATTGTAAATAATAATATCATATCAAAAATGAGATAAAATGATGCATTTATAACTAAATTTTATGCTATAAAATTATATTTTTAAAATAATTAAGCAATTTTTTTTTGTTTTGTTTTCTTAAAATACAGTAATACCTCAGTTTTTATTGACTTTGGTTATCATCGGTTTTGGTTTTTGTTGATTTTTTCCACAAAAAATTTGTCTCAGTTTTCATTGGTTGCCTTGGATTTCATTGGCGTGCCTACATGATCTCGCTGCTAATTTTGTGAAAACAAAGGGCCACCCATGTGTTTTCCTGCTCTGTGTGGCATTGTTTCTTGTTGTGTGAGCATTACCCCACATGTCTAGATAAACAATTACATTCCTTTCCTTTAAGCTACATCATGAGACAAAAGAAAGTTTCCAGAGTCCTTTGGTCAGTTTCCAGAGTCAGCAGCCCTTCGAAGAAGGGCTGCTGACTCTGGAAAGAGCACCTTCTAAAAGGACTCTGGAAACTGACCAAAGGACTCTGGAAACTTTCAAAGGACTCTGAAAACTTTCTAGGAACCAAAGGACTCTGAAAACTTTCTAGGAACACAATCTAGTTGACAAACTTTCTAGGAACACAAACTTTTCAGGAACACAATCTAGTTGAAGGAAATCATTAAAAAATATAAGAGCGGCATTAAGATTACTGAAATCGGCTGCATGTATAGGAAGTCGCCATTCACGATAAGTTCCATTGTGGCAAAAAAGGAGGCTAACATAGCGAAAGGCATGAATGTGCTAAAAAACAGAGATTGCAAACAATTGAAGATGTCAAACAATTATTATTAATTTGGTTCAATCAAAACAATAATATGGCAATTTTGTTTCAGAGGCCATCACATGTGAAAAGGTTTTTAAACACTATATTTATTCTCTATAAAATGTTGATTCGTTTTTTGAAACCGTGTTTCCGTATTTAATTACTGTTGAACACAAGATAATACTGAATATTGATCAACTGAATAAAGTGGATAAACGCCAAGTGTTTTAATAATAACACAGTCTTGTGTTCAACAGTAAACTCTATAAAATGTGTTTTTTGTATGTATTTTGGAGTATCTAGAATGAATTAATTAGATTTACATTGATTCATATGGAAATAATTGCTTCAGTTTTCGTCAGTTTTGGATTTCGTCGATTGTTTTTGGACGGATTATCGATGATAACAGAGGTATCATTGTATTTTATTCCTGAAGCTTTTATTAATTTATTATTATAATTAAATGTTTTATTTTTTTTCTTTCTGTTAATATTTATAAAAATAAAATAAGAAATTTTGGAAGATTCTACAAAGTTTAGTCTTCAACTTTCAGATATTTTTCAGAAAAAAATTACATCAAATTTCTAAATTGTGAGTTTTATGTAATATATTGTACAAATTAAAAGAAAATTAGAAATTTCAATTAATGAATATATTTAAATGTTATAAAATTAACCTATTTGGGATCAAATCATTTATCATGAAGCTACATTATGATGTATTAAGTATCAAATATTAACAATAAATTATTTTAATACATACAATGTATTACTGATCGAATTTCAATCATCAATTATTCACAATGCTAAACAAACAGCTGAGTTTATACTAAGAGAATTTAGTAAACTTCTCTTAGAGAATTTAGTAAATAAGCTTTTGAGACAGTGTAAAAAAGAAAAAATAATAATAATAAAGTACTTATAGTGAATCAACATTACCTCTAATAAAACTTTTCCTTGTTTTTTCTTCTTTTTAGACACTTTTTTGTCAAGATCTAATTTTTCTTTATTTTTCTGTTTCTGTTTGCTCTTAAATTTTTGTTTAAGCTTTTTCTTTCTTCTTTCTCTTTTCTTATCTGTAATATCTCTTTCTGTCTTTGCTTTCAATTCACCTTTAATTTTCTTCTAAAAAATTAAAATGTCATTTACATCAAATTATAAAAAAAATATATGTAAATTTATACATAATGTAGTAACTATTGAATAATATGATTTAAAATAAGTTATGCATGTATTATTCACATAAATTAACTTAGTTTCTATTTTAAATGATAATCAATTATTTAAAAACAGAAGTGAAAATATGATAAATATAAAATAGCTGATTAAAAATATATTGTTTATTTCAATGAATTATAAACCTAAATGAGGAGTTTATGAAAACAATATATCAATATAAGTATCATTACATCATTTTTTAAAAAGTGAAATACAGGTATCCCTTGATTAATGAGGTTAGTTAATCCATTAATGCTACCACTATATCAAAATTGTGTTAATCAAATATGGTATCTATGTTAAGTAAAGACAACTGTTAAAGCCATGTTAATTAAAACTTCTGCCAAGTATATAAAAAGGACTGCCGCAATTAATTTCATGCATTAATCAAATCCTGTATTAAGCAAAACCACATTAAACAAGGGATACCTGTAATGATATCTGATTTAAAATGCAAAGATTCTAAAATAGTTAAAATATAAATTCAGTGATCGTCCTCTTTACAACTAAATATTTGTATCAAATTTATAATCATATTCATTTTATTTCTAAATAATAGCACTGAAAGAAAATATCGCAAAAGGATAATCTGTGTGCTGTTATTTACTCTTCTACAAAATCTCTATTCTGATTGAATTTGAATCCATCATTATGAACATTTCATAATTTCCTTGAGTTAGAAATTGTTTCAACTGTTTGACCACAACAAAGAACAGCTTGCACAACTGCTTTGCAAGCTGCTTTGCTTTTTGTAATGTTGTTTTTGCATCTGTTCCTCATTAAACAGAACAGAAAAATAACTGAAGGACACAGACTATATGGAAGATCAAGTTTATTGTCATATGACGGTAATCAAAAAGTCCAATGGAAACAAACTTTGTGATATTCCATACTCTGTCTCTTGCAGTGTACATTGATGGATTCTAAAATGTGCTGAAACTTCTCTATATGTTGATTCTTCTCTCCTATGAGAGCATTAAGTTTATCTTGGTTGAAATTTGTTACAGACAATACATAAATGATCATTATAAGATTAATTAATTAATCTGTGATATATGTTTTACCATCTGCAGTGTCAGATGGCAATAAATATATCATTTAATTATTCAGCAGTGCAAACACTAATGCAAATTTCTATATATTTACATTTTAGTTTTTGATGAACATCAATTGAAGGAATTCCTCATTAATGAGAAATTCAGTCATTGCACATCTTCAAAATGATATGACATTGCCTTTCATTTTCTTACAGCACATTGTTACAAGACTGTTGCCAGTGCTATCATTTCATATTTCTAAATAAGATAAAGTTGTCACTAACAAGCATATAAACACATATCTTTTTATTAACAATGGGTTCATTCACAATATAAAATGTTAGCCATTACTTTACAGATATCATGCAAATCATTTTAAGAAATTCAAAACTTTTGGTACATACTTTTGTTTTAAAATTATTTAAAACATAACTTCTAATTAAATGTTATTCCTGAAGCTAAAAAATATACAAAATTTAAAATATTAAATTTGAATAAAGTTGTGTTTCTAGAAAAATGAAACATTAGGATAAGTTTGATAGAGGTCAGTTTTGGTTAAATCAATATTTTCATAAATATCAGAATAATTTAATTATCTTAACATCTTAAAACCCATTTTTTGACAACATGCAAAGTGCTGTTGTTGTAGCTAATATTATGAAGCCAACAATCACTGTCATAGTTGCCAAGGATCTGTCACATCTGTCATACTCCCCAGACTTTGAATCTTGCAATTTTTTCTCTTTCTGTGTATGAAGAGAGATTTGAAAGGTAAAAATCTTGCATCTGATGACAAAAGCTTGCACAGCTACAACAACAACAACACTTAATATGCTGTTGAAAAATGGCTTCTAAGATGCTTATAATCAGTGGTGATATTCAGCGTGTTCACACAGGTTCGGCCGAACCCATTGTTAACATTTTCAAAGTTTTCAGAACCCGTTCTTAAACACACGTAACATTTCTCAGTGGTTTTGTTTCTTTTAAAAAATATATTAAAATATACATATTATACTATGTAACACTACTAAACTAGAGCCTTATACCCTGTTCGCCTGGTGCAACCTCCATCGACCGTTTCAATCTCGACTGAAACGAGTTTCAATCGAGATCGACTCGAGAGATTTCTCGAAACTAGAACCAGTCATAAGAGAGATCCACAATCCCATGCGCGCGAGAAAATACAAGATGGCTGCGGAACATGTTTCGGGCTATCAACAGCGAAATAAGAAAGATATTGTATTTCGAGAGACGATGACATCTGTCTACTATAATAATAATATCTAACAATAAAATAAATGATTTAGAAAAGTTTTTCTTGTTTAACTGCTTTCCCTATGACTTTTTCCGATTAAAAAAAAGCCAATTTTTATGTTTATAAAATATTTTGAATGAAAAATATTAAAATATGTACAAAATAAACCATTTTGAACACTCTTTTTTATTATTTATCAAAAAAATATAGTTCTGGCATAAACAATGTTAAATTTTAACTGACTTAATTTTGCGAACGCATCTTTTTTATTTATATGGGTATCTTAAGGTCAGTTTTTGCGCTAATGTTGCCAATGAACCATTTGAGCAAAAAAAAAAAATTGTTAAGGAAAAATTTTCTGTTAGCGAACCCTTTGTTAAATATTTCGAATATCACCACTGCTTATAATGCACAAGTATAATATGTGAGGTTCAACAGAGAGTATTTTGAGAAAGACAAATGGTCGAAAGATTTTCAAGATGATATTTAAGGTAAAGCTTTCACTCCTGTCCACAAATTAAATGATCTACCCTTGTATATTAGCTCCTCTGCTTTAGGTACAAAACATTTAAGTTTGATTTTGTACATTGTTTGCTAGAGAACATGATTTGAATCTTGTTGATTGTTGCATTGCATTTGTAAAGTGTTAATGGTATATTTGGTAGTCTTGTTTTTAATTTTATAATTAAATGTGATTTGTTTATACAATGTTATGCATTTTAAATTTTGATATCTGCAAAAATATTGATATAACCAAAAATATTTTCATGGAATTTCAACAATCTATATTTTTAGTTTTTAAAATGCAATTTAAAAATGTATTTAATATGTTTATAATTATCAAAAAAATATCAAATTTAATATATTAAGTACAGTACATATGAATTAGTAAAGATATTTTCTGGCTTTCAAGTTTAAACTATGATACAGTAAAAAACAAATATTAAAAATAATCATAGTTATTTGTAATTATGTTAAAAATAGTTATGTATAGAATTCTTTAGATAATAACTATGGATGTAATGCTTATAGAAGTTATTAAAATTTTGTCCAATTATTTTGTCTTATAATAAGAGAAAGTAGGCAGAAATAATAATACTCAATTATCATTTTTAGATCATTCAAAAATGTGATTAATTAAAAAACTGAAAATTGCTTATAAATTTCTAAAATGTAAAAAATTATAAAATTAATGTATATTAAATGTCTAAATATTCCACATTTATTTTTGTTGCATTTATAAAATATTTAGCAATATTTTGTAAAATATATTAATCATAAATAAATAAAATTAAATAAATATTCCTTCAACTGAAATTTCTCCAAATAATAATCAACTAAGTGTATTATCTTAACATTGTTTTTATTTTTATAGATCTGAATCTCAACTTGCTTTTTTACTTTTAAAATGTTTCTTTAATTTTCAATCTATATAACTTATATCTGTATGAGTTTAACAGATAAGCTTAGCTCTAATGGTTATCACATATTCATTGCATCTATGTTTCAGGTAGCAAGAGAAGAATTTTTATTTACAGTTATATTTATTTACTTACCTTATTTAATTTTCATTTTATTTCATTATTATTTTATTTTATTTTTGAATTCAGTTATGTTAAACTGCAACTGCTATCTCAATACTGCCCAACCACATCTTCATTTACATAATTTTACAACAGCATTGAATAATGAATGGAATTGCATCCCTCTAAACTAAGTTAGGGTTTAGATATGATTAAAATATTAATATGATAATTATAATTTTTGTAACTAGTATTGATACACATTAAGAAAAATTTTATTTTTATGAGTATGTTTGGTATGCAAATCAGCAATATATAAAAACGTATTGTCAAACGGGCACAGCAGGGTAGCCTTAACATCTGATGGTCAGTATATAGCTGTTGAATTGCAAGTGATAATTGAATGGTGCTGCTTAAGAGTTTTTTTCTACTAAATTTTTTCCCTAAATTTTCTACTAAATTAGGTTAACTGTTTGATATTTTAGATAATTGTAGTTGATTTTATTGTTGTAAATACTGAATTGAAATTTGTAAAATTTGGGTTTTAGACTAATTATTCTTGTAAGATATTTTTGTAATCAGATGATCCAGTACTGACATTTATAATTTAAAAAAATTTTTGACATTTTTACAAACTCTGGTATAAGTTTTCTCTTTGATATTTTAGACCTTGCAAATGTTTTACAATCACAAATATTTTATTTCTTTAAATCCTTAAAAAATTACAAACTGTTTTTAATTACATTTAAGTAGGTCATTAAGTTTAAGATTGTTTACATATAAAGTCTCTAAAAACATTTAATTCAATAATTAATAACTTTTTACCTCTAAAATTAAATTACAGTATTTCATTAATTTTCATTATTTCTACATCTTAATCATATACATTTTATATATAGCTAAAATTGATTATGAAAGCATTTTGATTTATTATGAAAAAATGAAAATTATTTATTTTAGAAAAATTAAATAATACAAAAAAATTTTAGGAGCAATAGTGTCATAGAACTAAAGATATGACTCAACAAGAACAAGAAATGTGTTGTTTCAGAATTAATAAGATTTTATCTTAAAAAAATTAGCTTGTTGATATGTTTATTATTTAACTTTCTCAAAAATTTCTTTTGAGACATGCTTTTGGTTACCAAATAAGATTCAAGAACAAAAAAAAAAGAGAGAAAGTTTATAATTTAAAATTTTCTGTTAGAGATTGTTGTTTTAATTCCAATAAAAGAACAGTTGCATAATCATCATTTAGTTAATGTGTTCAATTACAAACAAATTATAGCTGAGCAAATTGCCTATTATTATTCTAAATTAAAGATTTGAGAACATTTTTAAACTTACTTTTATTTCTTCAGGTGCTAATAACGCAGCATCACTTACACCTTCAGGTATAGCTTCTTCAACTGTTATTGCTGGTATATTATTAACCATTTTAATTTCGGGAACAGGCTACAAAATATAAATGTTTCTTAATAATAATTTAATTGTATGGTAAATTAATAAACTGTAATAGCAATAAAAATTAACAAATACAAAAAATAATATAACTGATATTTTAGAAAATCCTACATGAAAATATTAATGAAACTTTACATTAGTGCAATCAAATTAAAATCAAATCAAACTTACAAATCTTATTGTGCTTTGCACATGGATTGAAAACTATTACATTACTAATGTTTTTGGTCTACTTCTAGGACCTAGAAGTAGACCAAAAAGTTCTAGGTCTCAAGTAGATCTTTCTAAAATAGACTCCTTCCAGTGCTAGTAATGTTACAAAATAGAACATTACTAGCACTAGAAAGAGTCTATTTTAGAAAGATCTACTTGAGGAAGGTCCTAGAAGTAGACCAAAAACATTAGTAATGTAATAGTTTTCAGTCCAAGTGCAAAGTTCAATAAGGTTCGTAAGTTTCATTTATAATTAATGCTTTGTTGTTAGAAGATTACTTTAAAATTAAATCACAAAAATAGCACCATATACAGTATATAATCAACTCAAAAATTACACCCTTTTATTTCAAATTAAATTTAAACAACAACACTGTTCTGCAAAAGTTTATTTAACTGAATTTTACACTTTCAATGGTGCTGAATCTGAATTTGGCAACAAAATTGGCCTAATACCCACCATTTTTCAGAGAAATGAGGTTTTTGAAAGAAAACATTTTCTGTTCAAAATATCATACTTATTGACTACATACCAGTGATGGAACAATGCCAAAATTTCTCCCAATTCCACCAAAAACTCCTGATTTCCATTCTTTTGAATAAAGTACTTTCTAAGATTTATTTTAGTTCAGAAAAATTAAAAATTTAAGTTACAAGCATGGTACATTCATTAATTAATAAACATAAACCTAAAGAATGGAAAACAATTGTGAAATCCTGAATCAATCTTTCAAAAGAAATTTGAAAATTCTCTATTTATAAGTGGATATCAATGCTTTTATTGTGGTAAAGTTAATATTGTAACACTACCCTCCAAGAATTACAACTAATTAATTCACTTTTATTTGAAGAACTATCCCATTGTGTCATGTTGGGTTGCCATCTTTGGAAACTGCTTCGTTGGTCGATGCAATGACTGCAGAGAGGTGAAGATAAACGAGAAGACACAATTTTTTTCATGGTTCCTGCAATAGGTTTGTCTCGTAGATAATTTAACTCTATCATATTTAATACTAAATAAGGTGTGGCAAATGACCCAAACAAATATTGTCACAAGTTAACCAATTTTTGATTTCATTCACTTCTGCCATGAATATATAGACCAACTCATCTTGAAAAATCAATTTTTAAAACTCAAACTGGCATTAAACAGTGCAAACAAGTACTTTTACTCAGAATCGTACAAATTTTTTGAAAATTTAATGTATTACAGCACATCTATGAATCATCATAAAAACTTTCATAATTATAATGAGAAAGTTGTAACTATGTTCTTCACAAATTACTGGGGTAATTAATTAAATACAAACGAAACCTTTTATGAGATATTTGAAATTTTAAAAAAGCAATTTTCGAACATCATCGTTCTGACATTTGACTTTGGAAATTTGGTTTCATTAAAAATCCTGACACAGGCTTTGGTGAAGGCCAAAAACATTCAAGTTTTCGTTTAAGTGCTGTTACCGAATGAAAGGTTTCATTTGTATTTAACGAGAAAGTTGTTTTATCATTATAAGTAGACATACTAAATATTAAAAACAATTTAATATAATATTGTTTCAATTAAAATATAATTTTGTTTACATTTTAAACTGTTTTCCTGATCACCAGTCTTGATTTGAAACTAGATAGCCCGATAGTTCAGTCAATGTTAACTCACTTATAATTAAAATTTTTAAAAAGCAGGCAAATTTATGAAACAAAAATTAATGAATTACTAAAAAATTTAAATAAATTTCAATTTGATTATCTTTTGTGCAAAACAACACTAAAACAATTTCTATAATCATGTTGCAAAAAGAAAAAAGGATTGCAATTAATTTTAAAAATTGGAATTAAGATTTCAACAAATGCAGGCAAAATTAAATAAATAAAAATTATTAAAAATACTAATTAAAAATCTAGCCTTTACATTGAAACCAAAACTAAAATTAAAATCAAATCAATTGTAAATTAAAAGAATGTTTTTAAAAACCATTTAAAAGTTGTTTTGAAATTTTAAAATTGTAAATCAATTAATTTTTAAATTTATGTTGTGAGGCGTTATTGCCTCACAAACTTTGCTTTTAATATGCAGGTTGTAACAGAAAGGTATATTAAAAATTTGAGGGGGTTGTAGAAGGGTTAATTTCGAGTAAAAAAATCTAGGGCCATTTTTTGACTTGAAGCAATCATTTTGAGTTATAAGCAATTTTAAAAATGTGACATCACTTTGTGTTTAGCAAAATGAAAATATCTGTTGCTAATTGCATGTTAATTTGATATTCATTACTTATTATCTACAATTTTATTAATTTGTTACTTGGATTTTGAGTTTTCTTTGTAACAATACATGGCTTAACTTTATAAGTATGTTTCAGGTTGGTGGTAAGTTCCACAATTAGCCAAAATTTAGATATTCAAAAATGTTCTTAGAACATTACAAATATGGAATGTTTTAAACATTTAAAAGTTTAAATGTTTAAAATTGCAGATAATAAGTAACAAATCAAATTAACATGCAATTATCAACAGATATTTCCATACATCAGTTGACACTTTGTTAAACAGGAAGTGATGTCACATTTTTAAAATTCCTTATAACTCAAAAAGAACATTTCAAATCAAAAAATGGCCCTAGAAATTTCAACACTTCTACAACTCCTCAAATTTTTTACACATCTTTCTGTTACATCCTGTATATACAGATACAGAATACAGATTGCTGGACAAGCCAGCCAGATGGCAACTCTAAAGTGAAATTTAACAAAATTTGTATTTCATCAGCGACCAACTTGGTGCGCCAATTACATTAACAAAGTTCAGATAGTTCAATATGCTGATATTGGTTCATCGAGAAGACACCTTATGGCAAATTGACGAGTTGTTGGCTAGAAGTAATCTCGTTCCAGCGGTTGAAGAACAGACAGCGAGACAAATCCAGACTTGACTTGAACTTTGATGCACACTTGAAGATCTTCGACAAACTTGCTTCTGACATAAAATCCTAAGCCAAACTTAGATGAAACTGATGTATATCCTGAAATTCTGAAGCAAACTTTCCAAAGTTCCCGTGCTGAAGTGAACTTACGTAGACCTGAAGTTTCTAACCGAACTTAACTCTCCCGCTTTGACATTAACCTTTTTATAGCCGTCGCCCATGGGCTAGATGACCAATCAGTGCTTACTGAGCTGTAGCACTATGCAAATAATAAGTGGCGTAATTCCCTGCCATCCAATCAACATTACCGGTTGAAGTACTATGCAAAATATGTAGAGTGGTGTGATCCTCAACCAATCAGTGATCAGCTGCTCTGTCGGAGGTCCGCTGGTGGTGTGATAATATGCCAACCAATCAGCGGCCATGCATTCAAAATCTCATGATTGCTTCCTTAACCATCTTTTCGCGATGGCGACCGTTACCAGTTTAAAAATAGAAAGGCAGGAATCATGTTCTTACAGGATTCTACCCCGACATCTAAAGTCACACTATCTCCTCTAAAATAGGAACAGTTAAGCATGGTTACTAGATTATCTAGTAACCATGGGAACCTTTCTCCATGTTCATCAGAAACAGCTCCTAAGTTGACAGGAAAAGAAATCTAAATGGGAATGCAGGGAATGAATCTTGAGTTACATATTGCAATCCAGTGTTTGGCAGAATATTACCAACTTCTTCATGATTTCTTCATACTTGTTATCTCATACATTTCCCAAAAAATTCTAGCTCATGCTTTTGAATGTATCCTTTGATGTCCTCTCTGCTGGATTAAGTTTTTCCTTGAAACTAGGATCCTTCAAAAGCTGTCTTACTTGGAGAGCAACAGAAATTCTGTCCTTTACTTACACATCACTCAGATGAGAAAACTTTTGCTTCAGGTTTCTTCTCTGTACAGACCTTTCACAAAGCTTTTCATCAAACCAAGTTTAAAGAGGTAAGAGGATTTTAGTTTTCTCCACCAGAGCAAGAAAAGCAAGATTGTTATGATCTTGTATATCTACTGTATGATCAGGCCATTTTATACCAAGAAGTGACTTGTTCTTGTTTATCTATCCCATTCACATAAAAAACAACAGAATTTAATATATTCTCCTTGAAGACCTGTTAGTATTGCAACAACTTTGAGCTCAGGACACACATTCCATTTATGCTCATTGTATTTTATCTTGCCCAGCATTACCTTCATGTTGTCATAAGTTTCTTTCATATGAACAGCATGAGTTTGTTATTATTGTGCAGCAAAACTCCTTTAAGATTGAACTTTAATAAGTCAATAAAAAGTCTCCACTCTGCAAGATCCTGTAACAGCTGAAGCTCCTCCAACAAATGTTGTATATCATTGCAAAAAACAAAACTGTCCTTCATTGAAAAAATTTCACATTTCCTGTTTCCCTTTTCCTGTAACAGGACACCTTAACTTCTCCGAAAGTTTCCACTGCTGAAGATATTATGCATGTAGTTGATCCTTTCTTTTTAAAAGATCCAAATCACAAATCAGATCATTTAACCAAGACTGATTGATGAGCTATGAAACTCTGGTTCCTCTGTGAAACTCCATGACAGGTGCTCATCACAACTTGATTGTCATTTTGACAAGGTATCTTCATGGAAACAATGTATATTATTCTTATTTTTGGTTAATGAAAACTAATGAGAGACTATTAACAATTTTTGTTACATCTCTTTTTTGTGGCAACATATGTGGATGATATATTCTTAGTTTATGAGATTATAGTAAAATAAATGAAACACAAAGTAAAGAAAAACAGTTAAATTATTTAGATACCTCAATACTTAGAGAAAATAATAGGTATAGGTTTATAATGAAAACCTATGAAAAAAATTGCAATACTTAAAGATAATAAAATATATATCCTACTGTCCATTGTCAATAAAAAGGAATGTCTTTATTTCAGAATTATCCAAAATATAGAGAACAACAAATGCATACGATATTGAAAAATAGAATATCAAAAAATTTTGAAACAAAAATTTTTATTGAATAATTATCCAAATATACTGATAAACAAATGGACTAAAGATTATAGATCATATCGATATAATGCTCAATTTCAGAATTGTGATCATAAGTACTGTACTTGTCTTTTTCATATATTCATAATATATTTGAAAAATATAAAAAAGTTTTTAAAAAAATATGGTATTACTTTGTATGTTAAATAATTTTTCAAAAGATTCATTAAAAACTTGTAATGTACAGATTTAAAAAAATTAAATATTTCTGGTGTATATAAATTAAATTGTACATGTAGCAATAAGGATTTATACACAGGTGAAACTGGCAGACTATTGAAAGTATGAATAAAAGTGCACAAAGCAGCAGTTAGATTGCAGTATGAGCAATTACCGTGGTTTATACATCGTGTAGACAATAACTGTAAGGTATTGTGTAAAGAAAAATATAAATACTGTATTTAAGAAGATTTAAAGAACATATAATGAGTATTAATAGTAAAAAATTAATAAATTTAAATAAGGTTTGGAAAACAGATGACATGAAGTGATGTAATTGTTAGAGATAAAATTTGTAAGTGCAGGATGATAAATGAATGACTTGTAACTTGTATTGGTGGCTATCATATGAAAGTTGCTTGAGGAGTGGTTTCCTTTATTGTGAGAAAACAGGTAAAAAATAAAACTTATATGGTAAATTATTAAAATGTTTTTTACATATGTAAAATAATAATTTAAAAAAATTTTTGGTTGCCTGAAGAGGGATGTGGGCTCCCATTCAAACTGCATTGCATTCAATAAAAAAATATTTTTAGAAACTGATTTAGTGGTCTTGGTTTTTTAAAGATAGATATAACAAAAAGAGATGTGACAAAAATTGTTAATAGTCTTTCATTGATTTTTATTAACCACAAATAAGAATAGTATACATCCTTTTCCATAATAATTATTCTAAATGTTATAGGTACAGATATTAACGCATCTTCAGTATCAGATTCCTCTTCTGAATCTTCCATGAAATTCAGAGGTGAAGCCGATACTGGCATTGATTCAACATGAGGCATTGGTCAAAGAGCAGATAGACAATTAGGATATTGTATCTTGATTTTGATTTGTAAAGCCTTTGATGTCAGTCATGCAAAAGTAACAATCATTGATGTGATTCTGAAGTTTCTACCATAGAAACAGCAAAAGGCATCGATTTATGTGCGCCCTTCAACCATCCAGTCAGTATCTGTGTGCCTGAGTTTACAGCATATTTTAGGAGCTTGGGTTTTTGGATTTTGTCTTGATCTCTCTCCTTACAGCTGAAATAACAATGGTATGCTTTTTTCACTAGAGGAATCAGTGATTTTCATTGTGTTTTCAAAGTCAGTTCTCCACAAATGTAGCAGAAATAGTCTGGTTTGCACACATGTGACATGTTGAGTCTGAGAAAGTGTCTGAGAATGAGATTCTTGGATGTTTACTGGATCTTATATAGCTGACAGGCCATGCCTCCACACCTGGCAGGTAGATGAATGGGCCACCTGACACCTGTAGTCTATTAAGATGTAGCACATGACCCAGAAGGATCCTTTTAAAATGATTCCTGATATTAAGCAAATATGATTTCTCTGGTTTTATATTTTATTCAAACAACAGTAACGGAAAGTCTGTCTAAAAGAGGCATTTTTCTGCAAAAAAGTGGTATTTAAAAAAAAAACTGTGGGTAATAGATGATTTTGAACTTCAGATTCATATTCAGCACACTAAAATACATTAAAAAAAAATCACATTTTCTTTCACAGGAGGATTTTGATGCAGAATGGTGTAATTATAAAAAAATATAAGAATTAGCAATTAAGTTCCAGGATGATATGAATGTAAAGTAAATGCAAATTTAAATAAGAGCACTTTTTATTATTATTCAAATAATATTCATTAGAAGAAACATACTTTGCATTTATTCACATAACAATTACAGATATTTTTTAATCTTAATAAAAACTTAAAATAAATTTATCAAGTTTTGTTCATTCACTTCTAGTCCCATAAATTAAACTACAACAGTATCGACTGTCCTTTTTAGACCACTATTTAGTTGTACAGTGATAAAAGTTCCATTTAAAAGACATGGGGAAAAAAATACTTTCAAAAACTTTTAAATATGATTAAAAAAAAAAATGAATGTCTTCTATGTCCATTTTCATTCTCATAAATACATCATTTCTTGAACTTTTTATAACAAATAACAAAGTGCTGTTAATATGCAAAGTTCTGAACTGTCATCTGATATTAAAGTTTACAAAAGAGTTGACATGTCCTTTGAAGATTTTATCTAATAAACTTATAAAATAACATTTAAAGTTATTGTAGCCATCAATTCTTTTAGCATAATTCATTATCAAATCACATTGCTAAAAATATTCTCTTACCCTCATATGACTTCAGAAATGAACTAAATTCAGTGTTTAATTTTTGTTCCATTATCAAAAAATAAAGGCAAGGTTTACACAATACAAAATCTGTAATATGACATATATTAAGAATGAATGACGTATGACCTTATAGAGAGGAGCAGTTGGATTAATCAATTTCATGAACACACTGAAATTGCTCCTAAACACTTTTATATCTTTTATAATTTTCTAATAAACTTAATTCTGAATTTAATAGCCAAATTTGAGAATTATTATATAGAGAAATACATTTCTAGTAAATTTTTATATTTTTAGTTAATTAAATTAAATTAATTTAACTGATAAAATAAAACTTCAAAATTTATGGTCTCAAATTATTTATAATAAGCAAAGTGAAAAAAAAATCAAAATCAAATTTGAGAAAAAATTTATCCAATAATTGCAGAAACTAACAAATATAATTTTTCTAATAAACAATTATTATAATAGAAGTAATGAATTTTGATATTTACTTACCGGTCTAGGATGAAATTGGAAATGAGAGAGAGCATCCAATTTTAAAAATAAAGAATCCATTGCCTTTTTTATATTCTGGTGTTTTTCTGATTCTTTTTCTTTTTCTTCAGTTTCAACCTAATATTTCATTTATAACAAATTTTATCAAAAATATTAATAAAAATATCATTCACTTACTTACTTTTTATTATATGTATTTAAATTAAAATAATTTATATCATCTTTTAAAATACACAATGAATTATATATAATGTTTATTCCTATAGCAATAATTGTTTCTCATTATTACTATTTTTCAAGGATTAAATATACTTTCCTTTGTAAAATAACAGTTTCTACTTATCAACATTATCATCACAAAATTAATAAAAAAAATGTTCACTCAACATAACAGAAAAATTATATATAGAAACCATACAAATTACAAAATGGCATATCTTTAAATACAAATAGAAAAAGTATTGTTAATCTACTTACAGCATTATTATTTTTCTATCATCATGAAATACAACTGTAGTCCATAGTCTTTGAAAAATTCTATTTACAGTATAAAATAACAATTTCCTTCAATTTAATATTTTCCAGTCATTCTAATATTTACTGTCATTTACTAACATTCCTTTAACACTTTTTTCAATGGTGGCCACTATTTCAAAAAAGCTGCACTGAATATGTCAATTATTTCTCATAAAATATGTCACTGTTATACTGGTTAAGAATAATTTTTTTTTTTTTTTAATCAATCTCTATGGAATTTTATGTGATAATGCAAAATTGAGTCATTGTCAACCAAGGACATAAATTTTGAAAAGCCATTATAATTAATTATGTTCTAGAAAAGTAAGAAACCAAGCAATCAAATTTTCTTGAAACTTGATACCATTTATAAATAAATGCAAAAGAGATAGCTTTTTTAAGATAACTAAACCAAGTAATAAAATACCATATAATCTGTAAAATGTTTTGTAATAAATAACATCTGAAAAATAATGTATGCATGCTTTACCAAAAACTTCTAGCATCTAAATGATATCATTGACATATTGTGATGGTCACATGATGCAAAATCACATCAATCAGCAGCAAAAATGCTAATGAATAATAATCTATATATATAAAAATGAATGTATGTGTGTGTGTGTGTGTGTGTGTTTGTGTGTTTGTGTTTGTGTGTGTGTGTGTCTGTCTGTCCTTCATGCATTACCACACCGTTTATCTGATTGCCGTGAAACTTTGGGAAGTTGTTTAATATACTCTGGCAAAGGTTTGTGGCATAGTACGATTGCCATAAAACTTCGGAAAGTTTTTTAATACACTCCCACAAAGGTTTTTGGCATAGTACATTTATCCTACGATAGATGGCGCGCGTTTACACGAGCATTCGAGCACAGTGTGTTCGATCGATTTCAAATTGTGAAGACCATTTTCCCCTTCAAAAAATATTTCTATATATGCATTTGTAAACTGTTATTTACGATATTCGTAATAATGTTTGTTTAATCACTTTATTTCAACTTTTTTTTGCTAATTACGTATTCGCTCAAACTTTGTTAAAACTTTAACTGTATACCGAACAACAACCAAAGTTGTAGAAGGAAATTCGCCTATTTTACCGATCTAGGATCCCCTTTCTCAAATTTTAATATCATCTAATAATTTAAAAAGACAAATTACAATAAAATGGTTTATTATCCAACTATCAGAAATTTCACAACATGCCAAGGAAGAGAGAAAGGAGCAATTAAATAATTAAAATTATAAAGGATTAAAAAATATATATATAAAAATGGGGAATATAGCACTTCTGACAATCGCTGCAAGTGTATGGGCTAAATTTGGAGAATCCATGCTTCTCGCATGGACAACTGTATGTGGCCGGCTCACGCATCGGAAAACCTTCCGATTTATTCGTGTACGCACCAGACGGAAAAACAAAAAATATCGTGTATCCACAAACACTCCAATAAATAAATAAAATTGACATGACACTTTGAAATGTTTTCCCGATGAAAATGAATAATAATAATAAGTTTCAATAAAAATGATGAAATGTAAATTTAATTTTATCATAACAAGTTTGCTTGAATTTCCTTTCTTCTGAGATCGCAGCAATGCGCGATGGGTAAGCTAGTCTATTATATAAATCTACAGACATTTCTTGGAAAAATAAAACAATAAATATTAAAATGTGATTGAAAAACAACAGACTATGAATCCATATTGACTATACTCTCAAATTATAGCTATTTAAGAATTTGTTTATTGCTTGCATAGACAAAACTATTACATTTCAAATTATTATTAACATAAGAGACACATTCACAAAATAAAGATACAAGGCAAGTAGAAATCCAAAGAAAATTATTTTTTTGCAGTTTTCTGCAAGTGCTACATCTGTTAGGAATCCAGTGGCGTGGCATGACATTTGACAATAGGGAAGCTGTGTTTCTGTAAGAAGCCGACATCCAGGGGCAATCAGTCAATTGCGCGTCAGTGATGGTCTAGAGTCCATTCGTATCATTTATTCAATAAGCCAGTAAAAACCTTAGACTTCTCTAAATGCATTTTTANATTCCTATAGCAATAATTGTTTCTCATTATTACTATTTTTCAAGGATTAAATATACTTTCCTTTGTAAAATAACAGTTTCTACTTATCAACATTATCATCACAAAATTAATAAAAAAAATGTTCACTCAACATAACAGAAAAATTATATATAGAAACCATACAAATTACAAAATGGCATATCTTTAAATACAAATAGAAAAAGTATTGTTAATCTACTTACAGCATTATTATTTTTCTATCATCATGAAATACAACTGTAGTCCATAGTCTTTGAAAAATTCTATTTACAGTATAAAATAACAATTTCCTTCAATTTAATATTTTCCAGTCATTCTAATATTTACTGTCATTTACTAACATTCCTTTAACACTTTTTTCAATGGTGGCCACTATTTCAAAAAAGCTGCACTGAATATGTCAATTATTTCTCATAAAATATGTCACTGTTATACTGGTTAAGAATAATTTTTTTTTTTTTTTAATCAATCTCTATGGAATTTTATGTGATAATGCAAAATTGAGTCATTGTCAACCAAGGACATAAATTTTGAAAAGCCATTATAATTAATTATGTTCTAGAAAAGTAAGAAACCAAGCAATCAAATTTTCTTGAAACTTGATACCATTTATAAATAAATGCAAAAGAGATAGCTTTTTTAAGATAACTAAACCAAGTAATAAAATACCATATAATCTGTAAAATGTTTTGTAATAAATAACATCTGAAAAATAATGTATGCATGCTTTACCAAAAACTTCTAGCATCTAAATGATATCATTGACATATTGTGATGGTCACATGATGCAAAATCACATCAATCAGCAGCAAAAATGCTAATGAATAATAATCTATATATATAAAAATGAATGTATGTGTGTGTGTGTGTGTGTGTGTTTGTGTGTTTGTGTTTGTGTGTGTGTGTGTCTGTCTGTCCTTCATGCATTACCACACCGTTTATCTGATTGCCGTGAAACTTTGGGAAGTTGTTTAATATACTCTGGCAAAGGTTTGTGGCATAGTACGATTGCCATAAAACTTCGGAAAGTTTTTTAATACACTCCCACAAAGGTTTTTGGCATAGTACATTTATCCTACGATAGATGGCGCGCGTTTACACGAGCATTCGAGCACAGTGTGTTCGATCGATTTCAAATTGTAAAGACCATTGTCCCCCTTCAAAAAATATCTGTATATATGCATTTGTAAACTGTTATTTACGATATTTATAATAATTTTTTTTAATCACTTTGATTGTTGCTGCTTCCCTCGTGTTACATAATTTTTTTTTAACCGAAAGCAGCACAACATACTGTCCAACAGGTTTTGTCGACACAGAAGATTCGGATCATTCAGTCAATCTGGGACAATGGCGTGATGAGCAAAAACACTTACATAAATGTGGTTGGCAAAAATCTAACACATATAGTTGT